GTTCACAGGCACCAAGAGCGATGCCACAAAGCAGATTGGCAATGCATTCCCTCCTATAATGGCACAGGCTATGTACCAGATCATAGCTAAGACCCTCGATGCCTTTGACAACGGCCTCATCGGAGCGGAAGATGATCTCTCTGAACTGGACGCTCTGCTGGAACAGAGGGGTGGGAACCATGCACAACAGCGACGCATTGAGAATGCTTTTCCGTCTATGAACCTTTCTGATGGTGTACTGAACGGTATCAACGACTTCTCTGACAGGAGCATAGCTTCGGGCAGCAGGAGCAATAGGCGACGTCGCGAACCTAGCATTCCAGGTCAAGACGATGAGATCATCTACGTACCGAGCGACAGCGAATAAAGGTTTGGGGTCGCTCCTGGACAAAAAAGAAAACGTCACTATGCAGAACATACCCGTTTTTCATGTTTCTAAAGAACAACACGCATTCTCTCTTTGACTTCAGAAAGTATGCCGCGCTCGATCGTCTGAGTAGGAGGCAACTGAAATTCTCGAATCATGCACGTTTATCCAAGCGGATTTTCTGGAGAGGTGTGTAGCTATGTGTCAGCGCTATCCGTTTCACACTCACGTTGTGAGAACCTGTTCATGTACGACCTACCGGAAGAAGCGGGCTTATGTTTTGCCTTCGCTAGTCACGTAACAAAGCCAAGGCAGACAGAAAATGCAACTCCGTTCACTTCTTGCCTCATGTCTGTGCGTGGCAATATATGTTACCTAACATGTTTCTCTTCTAGGTCTGCTATCTGTTACGGATGTAAGGATGCTCTGTCACAATCACTCCTCTCATTGCTTATATGGCGACATAACACACTAGAAAACGAACGTTCGGTAGGAATCAAGAGTTATGTCTAGAGAAGGTCTTCGCGTCGGATTTAAGCGCAAAGGTATATACACTTACTCAAAAAACTCATCATTGCATCACCCTACAGCGGGCCAACGTTCGCCAGCCGATCCATCACATGACTTTCACCCACTCCAACTTCCTATTGCAGATTCCTAATCGCCGCTCATTTCCAAAAGCTTAATTTCCGCCCCCGCCACTAAACCCAGGCTTGACACCCTGTCACGGTATGACCCTTTACATGATCTCTCAGAAGATAAAATATCCGCGTAAAATCCGCGTAATGGCGCATACGCCCAGAACACCGACGTCTGCCCGTCTTATGGTAAATATCGTACCACTCTGACCTCATAACGTCCAGGGTCTGGGAGTCAAAGAGTGAGTAAACTTTAGGCCGACAACTCCTGCCCCTTCCGCACCACTGGTCTCACCGGCATCTTGCAGAAACGACGCACAGGCATTACCCATGTGGCTTCCCATCGTCTTACATATGGACATGGTTTTCGCTACCCTGCATTCGACTACAAACAGATCTATTCTCTATTCGTGCCCAGCAAGCAATATAATCTTTTCACATGCACATGATAAGGCGAAAAGAAAGAAAAAAAGAAAAATAAAGCGGCGAATTAGGAGGGGTCGGCACGCCTTCCACATCCAGATCGGAATCTGGATAGATTGCTGTCCGGTCGGCCAAGTTGATGGATTTAGATTGCAACAAATGCACGAAAATGCATGAAAAGCAATTTTCTCGGTTTTCCTTTCCTTGGAGACGCCCCAAGATCGGACCGTTTGTGATGGTAAGCGCCCTCCTCGTCACGAGAGAATGTGGATTATGCAAGTTGAGAGTGCGGAGTTGTATCCGGTTACACACCGCTATCTTTGTATGGATCAAAGCGTTTTCCCTGAGGTTTGGTTCGTTGGAAAATAGGGTCTGCTTTGCTGCCCGGGCGTCTTGATAGGCGTCATTAGGATGGATTATGGTATGTGAGGCGGGTGGAGCAAAGTAAGACTGCGCATAGAGCTCCGGAAGGGTTATGGACAATGTACAGGATGGGCGTAGAAGATGTTCAGGGTCCGATTGTATAGTTCGGAGAAAACGCAAAGACATACCATGACACAGGGGTCCATCTTGGCTGGCTTGCCGCATGTCAGATTTACTCCCATAGTTCGTCGTATTCGGTTCTTTGTTCGACGCGGGATGTAGTGTCGATACTGAGGCCCGACAATCGCGCTTCCGACGAGTAGCGGTAAAGGAAGAGAGATCAAAGCCCAAGGCCAGGTCAGACGATGTCTCGACAGTGCATGAGACTGCATGAGTGAGGCACAACGCCCTTTCCGATTCAATGGAACTAGAGATGGTGTGGAGCCGACCTGAGTAACTCCCTCGTTTATCATTCGCGTGGAAGTGTTCTTCCCGGCCCTCTAGTGCTGATCCTGCTAGCGTGCCATGTGCGTTCCCGTTCTGCTTCTCGTATCTTACATGCCGTGGCTTGGCTTGGTAGTGCTGCCGATTGTTTGAGCCTTGCGCGGCGTGGCTGGTGCATAGCGCGCTAACGGGTCGCATCTGAGGCGTTGGCTCAGGAGCTAGAAGGATTGCCACGGCAAAATATATCCGTAGTCGACACAGTGGGCTGCAATCTAGGACTTGAGGCTGTTTTGGATTATCTACAAGGGGTGGAGTCGACGTGGACAAGACGGCGCCGTTACTCGGGGCATCGGAGTTTTCGGCCGAGTCGTCCTGGGGGAGGAGAGAGCAGGAACGATTGGAGTCTGCCCGACTAAGTAAAATCGCCCGGCTCCCGGTCTTTTCCAGACCACAGGAACATGCCGATGCGGCAACAAACAAGAAAAAAAGAGTAAGTTTACATCTACTTTAAGAACTCCACTTTACATGATGCCGTACTCTCGCCGTGTCGGCCTCATCAACGCTCTTCGTGAGACTTGTATCAGAGGCGTGTGGCTAAAGCTCTTCCGTGCCCGTCCGTCGAAGCACTCTAGAACAAAACTTGCAAACCTAGCGTAGCCGACGTGCCAGGCTACGCTCTTGAAATGTCTGTTCTCAATCGAATAAACCTTCTTTTCAATGTTTCTAGAAACACACCATAGACGCGCTACCGGACTTTCTCCCTGACATGTCGGGGCGGTGGCAGTTGCCAGCGACCTAGCCAGCCGCTCGACATGCCCTCCGGAGCCTTGCCGAACCACCTGAGCACCTACCATAGTTTCATCACCTTCTACACCGGTACATTGGGCGCAAGGGTGTCTGCAGCCGAACGCCTCAGTGTTTCCACATGATCCTTGCGAACATCGATGATCTGCACGTCAATCGCGTCTTTGGACGGCAGAGCTAGGAGTATTTGGAAGTGTGCATCGTGAGCGCATGGGCGTTTTTCTTGGTAAGGGTCTCCTAAGGCTCTTACCAGTGAAGGGGTTCCTGGCTATATGGCTTCCTAGAATGCTAGGTGGAGCGAGTCAAGTGTAATGAATTCATGGGTTTGCGACAGATGACGGTTGTGGACTGGGTCACTTGATACCATGGAACGAGAATAAAGACCAGGGGTTCGCGCGCTGCTGTGGCTGTTGTTTGCTGTTGAAAGTTGACCTCTACAATCGTTTCTCACCGAGTAGTCTCACGATCCATAGGGCTGACCTTGCGAAGGATCTGAACCTCATTTCTCGATACGACATATCGGCCCATATCCTCTCACCAACTAATCAACCAAGTCAACTCATTATAAGTCGACAGAAAAACCCAATTGATTGAGAAGCTATCTATCCATCATGGCGAAAACAACACGTTCACCCTTCCTCGATATTCTCCCCCCAGAACTCCGATTGCACATCTATACACACCTCCTCGTCGCCCCTACATCCATCAAAGGTCCCGTTGCCCGTCATGAGACCAAATACGACCTCCATACCGCCGTTCTCCGAACCAACAAGCAAATTTACCACGAAGCCCGCTCTGTATTCTTTGGCAAAAACACTTTCTACATAACCTCCATACCGCCAACCTCATCCAGCAGCAGCTTCAGTCATGATGTCGCAGAGGAAGAAGAAGAAGGCTCGGGAGCCTTTGAACCCCCTCTCCAACTTACCGACCTTCCTTCAGTCCGCCATCTCGAAGTCGATCTACTCTACTACCCCAACTCCATGACGACAACTCTGGATTCGTGCGACGGCGTCTGGAAACCCGTGTCTATCGGTGCCAGACGCTACACAACTAGCTTATCCTATCTACTTAGCACCGTCTCGCCAAGTCTACTCAGCTTGACCCTCTGCGCAGACACACGCCGCTACATCGACAACACCTCCAGCCAGGACCCTCACCGTGTCAGCACCAAATCCGAAACCGACATCGAGCGACTGCAAGTGCAAAAATTACTTACGGGATTTTACATGGCGGACAGCAACTCTCTCTTGAGGAAAGCAATGAAGGACCTACTCGTTCGAGATGTCGGCCTGCATTTCGATTTCCCAGAAAGTTACTTTGACTTCATGGTCGGCAGAGAGAGGCTTTGTGGACAGAGTCTCGTGGAGTTGGCGGGCCAGGTGTTGGCGGCTAGGAGTGAGATCAGGTTCAAGGCTGCGATGCAAGAGGCGGGTGTAGGAAATGAGTTTGCGGAGGAGGGTACAGTGAATTTGATTCCGTTTCCGTGTTTATAGGGCGCTGGTCAGGGTTGAAAGATAGATGACGGGATGCTAAAATGTTGTTTGTGTAGGAGCGTTGGCATGATACCACGAGTCGAGAATACGACGAGCATTAGAGGGCGTTTGTTGCATACTTTGGCTTAGGAGTTCGATGTACAGGGAAGTGCACTGGAGTATTTGGAAGCATTGTGTTTTTGTTTCTCTATTGCTATTCTTTCACAATACCAGTAACATGCGAACAAAAAAGACGCTTGAATCAAGGCGCTGAAATCTCGTTCCACAAATGTAAAGAGTAATTGTCCCACATCGCGTTCTTCGTTACTGTCGTAAATCGTAAACCGTCGTCTCATATCAATACATACATGCCGAAAAGCAGTCAAGGCGGAACATAGATGAAACGCAGAAGACAGGCAAATAGAGGAAGAAGTATAATAATACAGTCGTGTAGAAACCTACACTTTCTCACGTTCCTGAACGCATCTAGTAGTCCCTCCTTCGGTGTCGCCTCGTCTTGACAGGGCTGCCATCACCCTCAGAGTCGCTACTGAAGTAATCGTAATCATCGCGACCATAGTCGTATCCATGGTCTGGACGGCGATCGCGATCGCGCCTATCGTCTTTTCGCGAATCGCGATCGTCGTGGCCACGGGACTTGGAACGGAAGCGATCGATTACGCTGCGGCTTCTAGCACGCAAGCCAGGACCTTTGCTGCGCTCACGTTCATGCGCGCGAGTCCGGGATCGGGAGCGAGAACGGGACGTGGAGTGGCGATCGCTTCGGCTTCTGTTGGCATTGTTAGAACTGAAACCAGCCAAGTATGGGGTGGCGTTATTCACCTTGAGCGTGTCGCAATCTGTCTGGCACCCAACGCACCCGCAGCTGCTCCTGCAAGCGTGGTCAGCCTACTTTTACCCAACGACCTGCCCGCAAATCCTCCCGCCAACGCACCTCCCACCGACGCCGCCAGGCTCTTTTCGCGCAGATCCATGCTATCGAATCTATCGCGCACTTTAGTCATGCGCGAATCATCTCGACGGTGGTCTTTGCTAGAGCGGGACTGATGGGAGTGAGAGTCAACGGACCTAGCCCTGTGACGATGTTCACGACGAGGCTTGGTGCTCTCCCGGCGAGAGCGAGGTTGGGAGTCGTTGTAAGCGACCACTGGCTGTTCAGCGGACGGGGGAATGTAGGTCGGGTAGACTGCGCTAGGCACTGGCGCAAAAGCAGGCGCAAAAGTCGGCTGAGAGTTGGAGCGCTGGCGGCTAAAGGGCGGCGGAGACGGTTGGTAGCCAGCGCCAGTCGCAGGGAACTCGGTATGATGGTAGGGGTTCATAGGAGAATTCGAGCCAACAGGTGGAGGCGGAATGGGCGCGTCTACCGCGGGCGACGGCGCGTATCCAGGGCCAGGAATGTACCTAGAGCTTCTGGGAGCATCGCGCTGGCCATAGTCTAGGGTGACACCACGTGGCTCTGCAGGTGCTGGCTTCGGAGTGTTAGTAAGTGGGCGCTGAAGCAAGGCCGCAAGAGGCGGCTCGTAAGAAGGAGTGAAAGCAGCAGAAACGGGAGAACCACGAGAAAGAGTGCGAAGCAAATGAGGTTGAAAAGAGAAAGGGGTGGACGAAGTCGACGTTGTCCGGCTTCTCAACATGGGCGGACAGCTGTTCGCCGGTGTTGGATGCTCGGGCATTGTCGCAAGCGTCGCGCGTCGAAAAGATGAGAGATTATTTACCTGAGGAGAGTATCCGTAGGCAGGAGTAGCAGATGGGCGGTGATCTTGGACGGGGCTAGGAGCATACTCCTGTGGATTATACGGCTTATACTCGGATGTAGGCGGAGGAGGGAAGTAGGGCTGTCCCTGCTGTGGTTGAGCCATGTCTCTTGGAGGGCTGTGCTGTCCGTCCAAGTCGCTACTATGTCTACTGTGTCGTCCCCGACTCAGACCTCTACTAGCAGTCGTTCCAGTGCTCTTTGCGCGTCGTCGCTCTCTCTTTCGTCGCTCTCGTTCGCGCTCGTAGTCGGTGTCGTCCGTGTAGTAGTCGGAGTACTCAATCGGCGGGCTGCGCTCTTGTCGTGAGCTGCGCTTACTGGATCTTTCTTCGCTGTGGTGTCGTTCTCTTTCGTGTCTGTCGCTGCGTTCTTTACGGGTTTTCTTGATCTCTTTCTGTTCTGCGGGTGTGAAGTAGCCTCCGGGGATCTTTTCGAAGAACTTGTCGGGAACCTTCTCTGCGCCGACGCTGATGGCCTTCAAGGCTAGGGCTGCCATCTTTCAATGGGGCCGCGAAATCCGGATGTCGAGGTGACGTAGGGTTGTCTTGCGAGCAGCGATGTGATTGGAGCGCAATCGACCGGTCCCAGCGATTCGACGAGGGAGCCTTGTTGGTGTGATAGTGTGCAGGAAGGCCGACGAGTGGCAATGGAGCGGACTGCGCAGCGCGGGTTATAGTGTGTAAGCGATATAGATTGTACTTGGAGATGTGCGAGGTGTGTTGCTAGAGGACTTCTTGAGAAGAAAAAGCGCGGGGAAGGAGGCCAAGTATAAGATGTGCCGCGGCAAGTGACTTTTGAAGTACGGCGGCAAGAAGCAATTAGATTTGTTGCAATTGGGCAGGTGCGCTTAAAAGACGACAATATAGCTGATTCGACACATAGTGCGATTCCGTGGCAGGCGCCTCGTCTACATCGTGAAAATGACGTCGTTCGTCATCGACGTGGCTCGTGCGCTGCTGTCATTGGAGCCGCAACCCGGGGATCAGCATAGACGTTGTAGATGAATCCTACGATGCAAAAAGCATCCCGATCAACGTTGATCTCGCAGTCATCCATGCACGATGCGAACACCACAAAGACGCCTCTTTTCATTCCCATATCTGTTCTGGACATGCTGAGGCGACGCAGGCTTCGCCCACTGTGGCCTTCGGAAGTCGTATTCACCTGTATGCGACGCACGGTTGCCACTGCATCTATTCTCCGCATGCAATCCTACAAAGTTCTGGCCTCATTGCCGGCTGCGGACGGGACCAAGCCTCCTCGGAATACGCATTCCATGTACCCCTTGCATAAAACCGGGTCGCAATGCCATAAAACGCAAGGCTCCTGCGAGGAATTACCCGGGCGTGGCGGGCGCGGCCTATCGTGAGATGGTTGTGCGTTGGCAAGGCTCGTCAGCGTCGCAGCCTCAACCACTCAGATGCTTGGGGCTATGTGCGATGACGCCATGTTCAAGCTTCTGTGCTCACCGCCATCATGTCATGGGTCACGAAACATGGCTTTCTTGTGTGCATTTGTATGGCTTTCATTGAGGAATGTGATTAGAAACTGGAAGCCCAAATGCGCAGACATGGACCGGGTATCTTGTGTATCAAACTAATCATACGCTGTAATACCAGCGAAGAGAATGGAATGAAGATCATCAGCGGTCATGGGCCGCTTTACACCACTTGATCAGCAGCTACTGGTGCAGGGCTACGTACTTCTCCAGCGGGTCTACCAGCACTGTCTGGAACCTCAACCATGTCCTCAACCATTCCGAGGAATCTTTGTCTGTATTCATCGCTCGTGGTAGTAATACTCATGGGGCCATGGTCTTTCCCAAACTTTAGTGTGTTGAATAGCTTAACCAGTCCCGTCATCGTATGCGCCTGGAGAGCGTCTTTGGACCAAAAGAAGTCGAGAACGATGGCTCGGTAAACCCACTTTCCGTCACGCGATACGACACCTGTGCGCCATGTAGATCCTCGACCGGGGGGCGGCGGCACGTCACCCGAATTCAGGTCGGCGGGATAGCGGACGAGAAACAACGAATAATCCACTGCGTTGTTGCTTTGTAAGATCTTTGAGTCCCGAGAGAGTTGGGCAATGAGCTCCTCCTTCTGGTCGATAGTTACTCGGACTTTGTCTTCAAACTCATCAATAAGTCGATCCTTGACACTCTCAGGTGCCAGTCGTCCGTTAGCCACGTCGCGTTCAGGATAGAAGTAATCGTTTGGCTTCAGATCATATGTCTCCCAACGTTTTTGCTGGTCCTTGCTACAACTTGACTTCCCATAGAGGATATTCTCCATTATGATGTGATGGCTTGGTGCAGCACCTAGTGCAGCACCGATGGTGGCAGTAGGGCAGTAGAGGAGGTCTGTTATGCGGACGAGGAGGGAGTCCTCGTTCAGCTCCATGTGTTCGACATAGGGTTCGAGGAGACGATCGCGAAAGAAGGATTGCTCGAACTGTCGTGGGAGTGACTTGATTAGATACTTGGAATTAGGCGTTGTGAAGAAAGTCTGTTGCGCATTAGCTGGTTGCTCTCAGATATCATATTTAGCCGTACTGATCCAGAGTATCCCAGGTCTCCTATGGGGACCAGGTCGGTCCGTTTGCCCTTGCTAGGAGAGCGGAAGCTCTCAATGTATCCTTCCTCTTCAATCTCCCAAGTATCGTTCCTTAACTTCTTGAATAGAGACGCGCGATATCGAGCTAGGGTAAGACTGAAGAGGGCGAAGAAGGCGTATATACGCGCAAACAGGCCTAGATGCGCGCTCTCATCTTTCCGAGGCGCGTCAGATCTGAAGATGGCGCGCAAGATAGACGCGCTGATGAGGCGATCTCGACGTCCCATTTTGAAGTTTAGGGAAATGGCAGCTGTTTGCAGGAATAGAAAGGAGGTCTGCGTTGTGGACGCGTGAAGCGATACATTATCGCGGACCGTTGAATATCAGAATGACGTCACCGCGCTAACGATAGGCTTTCATGTGTTACCTGCTCGGACATGTCTTCACCAGTATACCGAACCTCATCAACGTGGACGTTTAGCAGCTCACATGAAGAATCGGAGTTCCCGCCATGTGGGTGAATTATCTGGATGATCGGCGAGACCTGACGAAGCGGCTCGTAGGCTTCTCGCTCGCTGCAGCTAGCAGTTAGCACACAGCACAGCCGCCACAACGGCGCCACAGATTGTTTTCATTCGCAGTTGTTGGCCCCCAGATTCAATTTTTCCGGTAAGATATAGATTGACTTGCATTGTAGAAGAGGAAACTAGAGGAGTATCATATGTAACACGCAGTTGCAATGAACATTCTCGACAAGAATGAGTTTGCAACCTTCGACCGTCATGCTGCAACCTGGCAAGAAGCACTACAGGAGATCATCCTTGTACCAAACTCTACAATTGTCCTGATACGCGACCAGTGTTCAGGGCGTCACTAGCTTTACCTCGGGATCTCCGTGTGTTCGGCCTACAACTGTCAGGGAAGCTGCTGGCTACGCGCTCTGAGAGTGCAGAAGACCCATTGGCTGCAGCGATAACTCAGTCCTAGTATATCAAATTCCAGCACTCATCAGAAATTGACCCACGCTTTTTTTCGTTACAGAACATTCGTTCTAGAGCTCCTAACCTCGGCTGTGTTGTTTTGCGTGGCAATATCAATGCATCTTGGAACCAGAGTCTCGACTGTGGATCCTGATAACCTCATATTGGCGAGCTATATATTGCTCCTTGGGGTCGCGCCCCAACCGATGTCCCGCTCGGCACGTCTTCCGTTGTTTCATCCTGGTCCCTTATGGCGCTCGCACTAAGCGTGCCGCTACAGCGCTACAACGGCGAGAACCAACATGGGTGGACTTTCGAGTCTTGCAAAACGAAAGCAGAGGTCGGTATGCAATCTGGAATTGGATATGGAGCCTTGCAATCAAGCCTTGGCGGCTGTGCAACAGTTACACAAAGCTAACGACTACGTACCACCCCAGTACAAATCCATCCAATGTAGACCTTGACACGGCACAACCCGCCCATGTAAGCGTCTAGACATACTCGTCTAACACACTAGACCCTTAGGCCCAGGCAGTTCATGCCCGGGCTATCAGTTTGACGGCTTGCACCCCACATTATTTCGCCTCTGTAGCTCGCCTTACAGTTCGAAAGTTCGCCCAGACGCCTCAGCATGCCCTCTCGGAGGTTTCCAATATTCCCGTTCGCAAGCTACTGGATAAATTCTGCGTCTTACAACTGCAGGGTCATCAAGCCACTGCTTACTGGTCTTGTCTGCTATGGGATTATCCTGACCAAGGGATTACACTCGGCATATAAAGCGCGAGACTCTCCCTTTGGTTTGACAGCATACTCGTACTACCTTAAATTTATAGTATTCTTTGTCATACCAGACTAATAGTAGGCAAAGTTGCTCGTCCGCAGTGCCAGTCTTTCATCTTTGTACCCTTTTATCCCGTTCATCACATTCACTCCATATCCCAAACATACAATGGCAAGTGCAGACGTTCAGCAGCCGCCTGCGCAGGAAGCTGCACCCGCACTGCCTGATTACCTCACAAATCCTGATGCTGTCCTTGGAGATAAAGATGCCAAGTGGCGATACGGCAGAGCCCCAGATTACTCAAAAACAAGAAAGGTTTTTGCTGAGAGTGAGTTACTGCATATGGTAGCGAAGCTGCAGGTCAGACGCAGTGCACCTTACTAAGAATGCATAGCAAAGCAAATGACGCACGAAGCCGGATCACTTCCGGAGCTTGTACAAAACCTCGTCAAGAACTGGGAAGTCGAAGCATCCTTCAAGCCTAGCATTGACGACTGGCGTACAATCGATCGTGAGAACTACTCATTTGCCATCAATGGCGGCAAGCCTGAAGGTGCGGAGGCCATGCTCAAGGTCGGCACATACAATGCTATCATCGCGCCAAACGAATACTACTCGCCCGACTACTCTGATTTTGCTTCGTCACACAAGACGTTCAAGCGCATGATGCCTACATTTGCATGGGAAGTACTAGAAGTCTACAGCGGTCCACCGACAGTAAGCTTCCGATGGCGACACTGGGGCCAAATGAAGAATGACTACGTCGGCTTCAACAACAAGGGGGAGAAGGTCACAGCCAAAGCACATGGAGGTTCTATCGATATTCAGGGTGTTACTGTCGCCACTGTCAACGAGAAAGTGCAACTACAGGCCGTTCGCACTTGGTTTGATCCCATGGATATGTTCAGACAGATCGCACCAGACGGTGTAGTGAAGAAGGAGGAGAAGCCCAAGAACATGTCACCAGGAGAGGCTCTTGACGAAGCTCAGGCTGGTGTAAAGGCGCCTGAGGAGCAAGAACTGCCTGATGAATTCATCCAGTCTAAGGAGGAAGTCGAGCAGACCATTGCAGCTCTCGATAAAATGACGACTGAAGAAAAGATGTCAGGTTTACAGAGCATGCCTGCTGGTCACCCTGAAGTATCGACGTCTTCTAGCACTGAGGGTGCTTGCCCTTTCA